TCGTATTCAACGTCTGCATGGAGTCTCAAGAAAGAACAAATTTGTCGCTGGTGGAATCAACAACGTGGATGTGTTTTAAGCATGGTATGCCTATTTGGTTGATGTGTACAGGGTAAAACAATTGCTATAAGAACAAAGCACCTGTGGAAAAGGAAGAAACAATGAAGTTAACGCAACTTTCACCGGAAAAGCAAAAAGTGAATTTACCATTTTACAAATTGAATACCGTGACTTTATATGCAGTGCTAACAAATGACACAGTCATATGTCTGTTGGTTATTTTAAACTGTCGGGTCAGTACATTGATAGTGTTAAACCGGAGTCTTTTAAAAAATAACTGATGGATTGTTAGTCTAAGACTGCCATGTTAAACCGTTGATGACCAAAAAAAAGAAAAAGCGTGATTTCATAAAAAAAAACATGAACATGCCAAAATGTCAATTTACAAATCATTAGCGTGTGTGTCCACCTCTGGTTGCGATGCAAGCAACACATCTTCGTTTCATGGAATGGACCAGGCGTCGCACAAAGTCCTTTGGGATATATGTCCATATCTGTTGGAGCATGTTTCGAAGTTCATGGAGTGTCTGTGGAACACGTGGTTGACGTCGAAGGCGCCGAACCATCTCATCCCACATGTGCTCGATTGGTGAGAGATCAGGGGAGCGAGCCGGCCAGGGGATGACATTCTCGTTGTTTTGTTGAAGAGAATCCTGAACAAGTCGAGCAATATGAGGCCGGGCGTTGTCATGTTGAAACGTAATGCCTGGGCCATGACGACGCAAAAACGGTAGAACAACAGGGCCGATGATCTCGTCGCGGTAGCGCTGTCCATTGAGATTTCCGTCTACCACTATCAAACGGGTCCTCTGTCTTGCTGTAATGACACCCCATACCATAACGCTGCCGCCCCAGAACCGATCTTCTTCCATGACACAATGGTTGACGCAACGTTCACCTCGACGTCGGTACACTCGAATCCGTCCATCGCTGTAGCTGAGGTGAAAACGAGACACGTCAGTGAATAGAACTTGTCCCCACTGCATGGCTGTCCAGCGTAAATGCTGTCTGCACCACTGTAGACGTGCTAGACGGTGGTTTCCTGTCAAAATGGGACGTCTGGCGGGTCTTTTGGCGACAATTCCTGCACATCTGAGACAATTATTGGTTACACGTGGCCTGCCACTCCGAGGAGGGTCTCTAACTGCATTTGCCTGTTGCCAACTTTGACATAAACACCAAATGGTGTTTCTGTGGACGTTAAGTTGTCTTGCAACATCACGTTGACTCGATCCTGCTTCAAGCATACCAATGGCTCGCGGACGCTCATTTTCGGACAGGCGTGGCATTTCGTATTGTTGAATAATTGCGTAATTTTGTTATATATATATATTCACAGAAGGTATTTGAGACAAGTAGGATTAAGATCACGCCTTTGCAATCTCAGAAAAGAACTAGGTTAAATTTTGTCAAAACAATTGATTTTTCAACTTTATATACCACAATCTACACATGACAAACTCTATTCTTTGACCCACGGGCTTTCGTTACAAACCAGGGTGATAGTTACAAACCTATCTTCAGAGGTTCAGCTCAGTTTGTCAAAAATGAAAGCAAATGCCATCTGAAGTTTACCGAGAAAACACTATATGAAATGTCACTTCCTCAATGATGTAAAATTTTAGGAAATGACAGTTAGGCAAGAATTGGGCATCCCTATGGGCACCGATTGTGTTCCCCTTCTTGCTGATCTTTTTATTTATGTATATGAATCGGAATGTCTGCTCGGACTGGCAAAGTCAAAACAAGGTAATCTGACCAAGAAGTTTTAACTTCAGCCTATACAGGAATGTGATCTGATTTCATTGAATAACCATCCAATAGCCCTTCCACTGATTTACCCACCTGAACTAGACATACGAGAGACCAGTGAGACCACCTCTTCTGTTTCATATTTAGATCTATGCACAAAGATTCAGAGTAACAAAACAGTGTCCACTTATGTCCAGCAATATTCCTGTAATTCCAGCCTTTGGTTTTTACATTTCACTTTGAGGTGCAATAAAGCATGCTCTTTCTACCAAGTTTTCAAAGAGTATCATACGATACTTGCACAGTTAGTAGTTTGATCAAGGGGTCAACATTCAAGGCCTCGGTAAATCTTTCGAAACGTTTTATGGTAGACATGTGGAGGACATTTCCACATAAGACGCACCCGGGACAAAAAATCCCTACTTCTGACTTTTACCATATGTTCCCGTGTTTGTTTAGGTGCCTTTGCATGTCTTTGTAATGGGTGCCACCGATGGGGCAGGATACGCTCACTTTATCGCGAATACCTGGCATCATCAGTTGCTAGTGATTCATAACTACATTCCAATTATATGGTAGTAATAATACTCTGCTTTTGGCAGGTTTCTTATGAATATGGCTAGGTTCTTGTCGCTTCTATATTTTATACATACGGTTGGTTGGTTTGTTGTTTAACGCCGCATTCAGCAATATTCCAGCTATATGACGGCGGTCTGTAAATAATCGAGTCTGGACCAGACAAACCAGTGATTGATATCATGAGCATCGATCCACGCAATTGCGATCGATGACATGTATCAACCAAGTCAGCTTGTCGTAAAAGGTGACTAACGGGATCAGGTAGTCAGGCTCGCTGACTTGGTTGATGCATGTCATCGATCCCTATTGCGTGGATCGGTGCTCATGTTGTCAATCACTGTGATTGTTTGGTCCGGACTCGATTATTTACAGACCGCCGTCATATAGATGTAATATGTGGCGTTAAGCAACAAACAAACAAACAAACAAAACAAACATAAACTAAGGATTATCATCTTGGCGCAGTTGAGATTCGGAATTATGATCGGAGGATTCAGGCAAACCTAAGTTCAACGCATCAGAACTCCCTGTGATATTGTTTTAGAGAAGTGAAGATGTAATAAAAACACGACAATGTATGACAGTACATCATATAATTGACTTCGGGTAGCTTAGTAGTAAAAGCGTTCACTCGTCACGCCGAAGACCCGGGTTCGAATCCCGACGTGGGTACAATGTGTGAAGCCCATTTCTGGTGTCCCCCGCCGTGATATTGCTGGAATATTGCTAAAAGCGGCGTAAAACCAAACTCACTCACTCACTCACATAATTCGGGGAGAAACCATTTCCTGAGGGGAGGATAAATTTGAGGTCACTGGATTTGAGTGAGTTCATACAGGATAAGTATACTGTATACTATTTTTACCATTTCCAGAACGCCATACAAAACACAATATTGATCGCACTTAACAATGCATTGCTGATGTTGTAGACGTGGCACTGGCATTAGTTATGTTTTGTTTGTTTGTTTGTTTGTTGGTTGGTTGGTTGGTTGGTTAACGCTCAGCAATATTCCAGCTATATGACGGCGGTCGGTGTAGACACCCAAGGCCCGAGCTCCTGGAATATGATAAGACATGAAAGGAAAAGTGACTATTTGGAAGTTGAAGTCTTCCCTATTTTCGTATTGTCTCGTGGAGAGATTTTTACACATTGTTCTAAATGAAAAACAGATGAGTCGAAGGTAATTGACCATTCTTGAATGATATCAGATCATCAATATACCAAAACCCAAAACCTCTTTTTCATACTTCTATGTTTGTTGCATCTGATATCATTTTAACAAACAAAACAATTACTCCTTTGTTACAAAAAAAAGAGTGTGTGGCATGATGACGACTCACGAGTGCTTTACATTTGGAGATAATAATCATTCTACCAAGGTTAAATGTCTTGGACAATTTCGATTCCCGTGTTTTGATTGTACCAATCCGAGCAGAAATTCCGTTTCATATGCATAAAGAAACCCATTAGCAAGGCGGGAACACAATTGGTGCCCATGGGGATGACTACTTCCAATAATGTCGAAGTATATATTTGTAAGGAAATGTTTTTATAGAAGGAAATTCGGGGCATGTAAAGACAGTGTGGAAAAATATCCGGTGAAACTTTGATTTCTCTGAATCAAAGATTCAAATATAGCATTACCCAAGTTTAGATGAAGCTCTCAAATGCTTAGTCAAGCAGGACGACATACAGGAATGCCAATAAGTAGTGCATAAAACTGATATCCACAATGTGTAAGTTACGTTGTATAAAACAAATATTATTATTTCCTTCAGTATTACTGCCCCAAATCTGATACTATCCTTTGCGAATATATCAATGAATACTTCTTTGTAAATGCCAGTAGTGTCGATTTATAACATTAATGTCTACAGGCACATGTTTGACACTACGCAAGTAGCTATTCTATAACAGAACGTAACAGTTAAGCAAGCGCATGAACCACAATGTACTGTATACTACGGAAATCAGCACAACCATGTGGTTGGTTGGTTGGTTGGATGGATGGATGGAGTGATGGATGGATGGATGGATGGATGGATGGGTGGATGAATGGATTGATGGATGGGTTGATGGATGGATTGATTGATTGATGACCTGACCTGACCTGACCTGGCCTGGCCTGACCTGACAGAAGACAAGGCATTATAGACTGCATGAGTATGTTAGTTCCTTGTCACGGGAAAGGACTGATACAAATGCCTCTATTATGCTCTCTTAAGTATAACTTGATAAGCTTCACTCAAATTACAGCTGCGTTTATCTTCAAGTTAGAATTATTGTTAGAAAGAGCCAGTAAAAGCCGTATTTAATAGTCTCGTTCATGCATTGTGAAACTGGATAGGTATGCGTGACTTACACTGAATATAAATTGCTCAATGACACGAATGCACCGACACACAGGCATCATATATTGTGTATAGTCAAGGGGGGCTCGTTGGAGCTGAAGGCACTCGTCTGAAAATGGCATTTTAGAAGTTTTACCCAAGAATTTATCAACTTTACATATAGAAAGTTGTAACCTTCAATGTATTATGATTGTTTCACACCGTCACATGCATTGCAGGATGAGGACACATTGTTCACAGCTGATGATCCTACTGTTGCAACTCATTCCAAGTCTGTATAGAGAAACTGATGCTTCAATCCAAACAGAAAGGCTTTCCAATGGAAGAGGGGACAGACTCGATATGGCTACTGCTCAGTATGCATTTTTGATTGACGTAGCGAAGGACATGAACCATGCAGAAGAAATGCTAGCGGGAATAACTAACATGGCCATCGGAGAGAAAGCAGGGAAAGAACATAGTGAAAATAATGAATATTTCCAAGGGAAAGCAAAAGGTGAATTAGACCTTGTAAATAGTTATCGGCCAGAAAGTACATATCTATACCATGTAAACTACGGTCTGGATCATGTTATTAAAACTGTTATCAAAAGGTTATTCCTAAAAGGCAAATAATGTTTATGATTAAGAAGCCTATCAAAAGGTACATATATATTCGACTTTGACATACATCAGTTGCATAATGCATATATGTTGTGTATACATACATGTATGTTTAACCCTGACTTGGTATTTCAGGGTTTTCAAAGCGAAAATATGTTGGCACCATCACCAGTTCTGGTAATCAGGGAACATCAGGAATATGTGCAAGTCGTCAACATCCGGGGATTATATATGCCATTATTGATGGCCCTGAAGACAGAGCTGATGTCTATGACAGCAACATATATGCTTACGATGCAAATAATGCTTCGCTCGTCACCAAGATAAGTCTGGATGTTGTCAATGTTGACTGGGAGGATATTGCTTGTGGTCCTTGTGATACGAGTGGTTTGGGACATTGTATTTATGTATCTGATACTGGACATACAGGAGAAGGTCCTGTTAATCTGATCTACAAGGTACTGGAACCAGAGGAAGTGATACAGGGTCGTAAACTGTCTCTCGGGGAGGACGAAATCGAGGTCATCGGCTTTGAGTAAGTAGGCACATTTTCAACACAGATAGTATATGCTGATGTAAAGTGAAGCAACATAAAGCAAGAATATTACCTTGACAATGCCAACGACATCTAAAAGTTGTATAATAATTTATCAGATTAATTTATCAGATATAATAGATTAAGAAATAAGTGTTTTCAGTGTGAATAATGACATTTCTACATATAAACTTTCTCATCAAAAGAAGGATTAGAATGCTACATTTTAAATGGAAAAACTATTTTCCTGTCACAGCAAAGTTCAAATGAATTAAAATATCTTGTATAGTATAATAATATTACAGTAGACACGTTAGTAAGTGAATATATTTACATGTGTTAACAGAACAATTTTAGAAAACAGCGGAACACTACTGGTTTCACCAAGGGGTCAACTGTATATCATGGATTCTCTTCACGAACCTGGCGGTTTGTATGAGATCGTTGATGGAGAAACAAAATACCTCTTTGATGTAGCCGTACCAAAGAAGAGCATTTACATAGCACCGAATGGCGGAGATATATCTCCTGATGGTAAAGCATTACTCTTAAAGACCCAAGAGGATGTCTTCTATTGGTATGTTGAAAAGGAGGAAGACATGAAGTCGGTACTAACGGATGCCAACCAGTCTATAATACTCCCTTACTTAGAAGAAAGACAAGGCGATTCTATTGCCTGGAGTCTAGATGGCGCGTCCTTCTTCACTGTATCTGAAGGTGAAAACGAACCCTTGTTTCGATATGATAGACTTACCTAACACCCGAGGATTTTGAAAAAAATGGAGCAGTGGGCAACACAACATTACCATGTTCGTTATAGTTAGGAGAGGCTTAAATAACATGGAAACTGATTTGTGTCATGCGCTTGAAAGTGTTATACTTAGTTTCAGGAACTGCCCAAGCCTAAATTGAATAAATGGACGTCTAAGGAATTTATATGTTAATATATATATGACCATTGAAACAGGATTTACATGAACTAGAAACAGATATGTCTGATTTTTGTAGAAAATTGAGATTACTAAATCATTTTGATATTGATGCCAATAACGAAGATACTTCATTAGCTAGAAACAAAAGCACCTTCACTCCAAAATCTTGTAGAAACAAAGTGTTAGACAATGTTATTAACCGCCTCAAAGATTTACCCTTTACTGTAAACCCTCAAAGAGGTAAATCAAACATAACAAAAAATGAACGACCGGCCCCAAACAGATTATCAAACAACGAGTCAATTGTTATTAAAGAAGCTGATAAGGGAGGCGCTATAATAATTATGGACAGTAATTATTACCAAGAACTCTCACTGGATATGTCAAAAGATGAATCTTATTACAGAAAGCTTTCAGACAGTTCGGAGAAAGTCTGTATTACTTAATCATAAAATATTAGTATATTCACATTCTCAATGCCTTACTAAAAACGAAGAGGATTATTTAATTAATTTTGAATCGAAAGAAAGTAAATTTTATGGCCTCCCTAAAGTTCAAAAGAGCGCACAGATCCAAGAAAAATGTCGAACATTGAATTCTGCTTATGTCAAAATAGCCCCCGAAAATGATTTAAAATTACGGCCAATAATTGTGGGACCCAAATGTCCCACACACAGAATCAGTTACCTTATGAATAAAGTGTTGAAACCAATAACTAAACATGTCAAGAGCTACATAAATGAAACCACTGATTTTCTGAACCAACTTCCCGCCTCAGTCGAAAATGGTACAAAGTTGGTCGGTTTTTATGTAGTTAGTTTATATTCAAACATTCCCCATGATCTCGGCACAGAAGCTATTGCATACTGGATAAATAAACAAAGTTCGGAAATCCGAGAGGACATTACCTCGGAATTCATTATCGATTGTATTAAATTTATTCTAAACAATAATACTTTTAATTTTGATGGTTCTCATTACAAACAAGTTAAAGGCACAGCAATGGGGACAAAAATGGCCCCTACTTACGCAACCCTTGTACTTGGTTATTTGGAGCAAAAGCTGTACTCAAAAACTGAAGAAGATTCGGTATTGAATTTGGACAGGGATTTCAAGATAAATGGAAAAGATTTTAAGATGATTGTTTTGTTCGGTGGAATCGGAATGAAAACGATCTACAGTGTTTGATAGATACTAGTATTTTACAGACACTCCAGCCAAGTTTAATCTTTACTTTAGAGATGAGCGATAACAATATATCGTTTCTAGATGTAATGGTTACAATTTCAAACAATAACATTAAAACAGATGTATATTACAAACCAACTGATTCCAAGCAATACCTCAATTACAATTCCTGTCACCCCCGTCATACTAAAAACAGTGTCCCTTACTCATTAGCACTTAGAATCTGCGCGATAGTATCTAATTCAGATCGTGCACAATATAGACTCGATGAACTGAGGGAGTCACTTTTAGTAAGAAACTACCCTAGAAAAATAGTGGAAGACGCAATAAACAAGGCTAAATCACAAAAAAAAACTTTTAAAACCTAGAGATAAACCTAACGAGAGTGTTCTCCCTTTTGTTACAATTTTTAATCCCCAAAACCCGGAATTATTTGGAAGTGTTCGGGAAACACTGTATTCCTTAAATAAGTGTAAAGAACTAAAACAAAAAATATCACAAAATGAACTTATTAAAAGTAAAAGACAGAGCCAAAATCTGAAACAGATTCTTACTAGGGCTTCTTTCTCAAATGGAAAACAAGAATGTAAAACAGTACAAAAGCTTTACAGACCAAATTGTGCTACTTGCCCTCATGTTTTACAATGTTGTTCTTTTACATTCAAACACGGAAAAACTGTCCGTGAAAATATGAATTGTGCTTCAAAAAACTTCATTTATGCCATACAATGTGCTGGATGCAAGGCCGAATACATTGGACAGACAGTATTTTTCTGGTTGAATAAGACTCTTAATTGCCTTGAACTGTTTTCTGTAGGAAATGCCATTCTTGGAAAAAAAAACAAATTAATAGATTTTTCACGAAATTGTTATAAGTTGTTTCAGTAAAAACGTGCTGTAATGATATACTTAAAAATAGCATATAATTTGAACACATATATTACATATATTTAAAAGTATAATGAAATATGGTTAAGATGTTTACAAAAGTGCTTGCCAATATATTGACCGGTCGTGTAGTTAGCTAACCTTTCAATAGCTTACCTTTAAGAGCCATGTTTTTAAAGCACCTTGTCACCTTGTGTATTATAGATATATTTTTGTTAAATCTCTTACAGCTTAATACGACAGTTCCATTCAAAATGTCACATACAGTAAACTACGGTTATAACGAACACGCTTATAACGAACTGACGGATATAACGAACTTACTTTTTTGTCCCGACTATTTGCTGTAGTTATACTGTATATTTGCTTATAACGAACTATGGTTATAACGAACTAAAATTAGTAGTCCCTTTGAGTTCGTTATAACCGTACTTTACTGTACTAGTATTCAGTAACGAGCGAATATTGTTTGTAACACGTCATATTTGATCTACTTGCAGATAAATTTGCCGAGACGTTGCATGCTGTTTGTTACTTTTATTTGTATTTAAACCCTGAAATGCATGACATTTGTTAGAAAGCTCGTCGCCAAAATGAGAAGGAGGCAGTGCGTTCGAGCCGGTTCATCACCAACAGAATTCGGCCAGTCAGATCGGCGACCATGTGGCCTGATGAGGCTTCTGCTCTCATTTACTGTAGAAAAAAAAACGTGTTTATCAAACTCCGTATGTAAGAGAGGTAATCGCATGGTAGTCAAACGCATGGTGAGGAGGCCGGCTTCGGCTGTCAGCGAGGTGAGACGCGTGGATAGTCTCTCTCGCTGTTTGGCTCATACAGGGCTAGGCTTTGTTACATTACTATCTTTCGTAATTAAACAATTGGTTGGTTGGTTGTTTTACGCCACACTCAACAATATTCCAGCTATATGACGGCGGTCTATAAATATTCGAGTCTGGATCAGACAATCCAGTGACTGAGAACATGAGCATCGATCCACGCAATTGGAATCGATGACAAGCTTCAACCAAGTCAGCGAGCCTGACTACCCGATCCCGTTTTATCGCCTCTTACGACAAGCATAGTCACCTTTTACGGCAAGCATGGGTTGGGGAAGACATATTTTACCCGCATCTCCGTCGGAATTAAAACGATTAATAATATTACCAAAGTAACTTTAGATTACGATGAGCTTGACATATTGGCTTATTCTGCCATATATTTTTGTTTAGCGTTTCACTGACGTCTCGCCCCGCGTGGAAAGTTTCAGTTTTCTCTGGTTGTGTTATGGCAAATATCGTTTTGTCGTCGATATCGATAATGATATAGACGGGTAGGGGGATGATGGTATCCTAAATACAATTTCCCGAAAAGTACATTAGTTTCTAATGTACTATTGAAACCTGTAGTTATATTTTCACCAGGTGACCAAAATATAGGAAAAAGTGACTTGGTGATTCACTCAAGTAGATCTATTGAACAGTTAAATGTCCTTGACGTCAGTTTGTGACATCCGTGTCAGGGGTATTGTCCGGAAGAGCCTGAGAGTCATTTACAATGTTGACCAAGCTGTGAGACTGTAACCGATCTCGTCAGCGACTGAAGTAGCTAAAAGCCTTGTCCAGATCAGATACCATCTCCGTGAAGATCGGTCCAGGCGGAAGAGAAATATACGATGCCAAAGATGAAGGGAAAATGAAAGATGACAATGAGTCCTCAGTGGAAGTACTCTTCTGAAGCCTGTCGGCAACACAGATGAGGACTGTAGCCGGATCAGCCGAATCATATCTACCAGTTGAAGAGGCAGGCAACGCATGGCTATAGAGAAGATCTTTTTGGGTATGGTTTCAGGATCCGAAACTGGTGTGGTTGTCGACATCGGGGGAGGATGCGAATCCAAAGTAGGAGCCATATTATCCAATGGCTTAACAGGCTTAGAAAGGCAAGCTGAGGTTAACGTCTGTAAGATCGACTGCAGCTGTGTAGTGACATCGGTCTGTAAAGTCGCCGAAGACTGGAGCAGTCGTCATAGAAGTATGATGAACTGGAGGAGGCGATGGAGAACACGGATGACCATCTTCCCGAGGCAAGAGAGTTAACTGACTTTAAAAGTCCAGTTTCCACCCTTGGCGAACTAGGCTGGTATGATGGAGTTACATTTTTGCTGGACTAACGAGTCTATGCATAGTCCAATCAAAATCGCGCAACGAAATCGAAATCCGGTTCGTCAACTGTCAAGCAGATTTCGGTCGATTGCAGGATTTGCAAAACATGTGCACCGCTTACTCCTTGTCAACAGATATTTTCTAAATCTTTTCATGTTTTTAATCAAGGTGCTCACGTGATTTGATGCATTTTCACGTTTTTATAGTCAGTTAACTCACTTGCCTCGGGAAGATGACGGATGACGTGAGAGGACAGAAGTGTCGCGTGCGTCGTTAGGGGATGGGCATCTGCCGACAGTAGCAGAGCAGCGAGGGTTGTCTCCTCAAGAGAAGGTTGGATGAGAGTGGTATTCCGGGTGAACAGGAGCGTAAGAGTATCCTTGCCTTGGGGAAAAAGTGTCCATGGACTGAGGGTATCATGTGAGCGTAAACAGAAAACGAAGTCGGACTCCAAGATAGTCCACGGCCGTTGTTATGGTAGTCGTAGGAACGATCGACGATCCTTAGATGAGTATCGTACGTTAGAGGTTTGATGAAGCTTATGAGACATATGGAGCGACGAAATATCCCGATCCTGTGAAGAGAGACGCTTTCTAGATGTTCGCCGATCCTTCGAGGTTTGCCGATCCGGAGAGGTTCGATGAGCCTTCGAGGTTTGACGCACCTTGGAGGTGTATTGGTCTGAGGATGAATCGCGATTCTTCGAATTATGCCGAGCATGGAAGGTTCGCCAATCCTTGGTTCACCACTCCTCTGACGATAAATGATACGAGTTCGGAACCAGAACTGGAGAAGGTAGTTTTGTTGTCGATGGCCGTTTCGTGGATCGAACCTTCCATCGGAGGAGAGAGGGTTGGTTGGTTGGTTTGTTGTTTAACGCCGCACTCAGCAATATTCCAGCTATATGACGGCGGTCTGTAAATAATCGAGTCTGGACCAGACAATCCAGTGATTAAAATCATGAGCACCGGGAGGAGAGAGGGAGACTCATGAGAGTCGTCATTGTCAGGCGAGGTTTAAGAGAAAAACGAACGATCTCGGGAAGATCTATCATATGATGAGTGACGAGTAGGGGATCGTGACCGGCGAGGAATAGACGCTGATCTGCTGGAGTAATCGGAGGTACAGTAGACTACGGTTATAACGAACACGCTTATAACGAACTCACGGATATAACGAATTTACTTTTTTGGTCCCGACTATTTGCTGTAGTTATGCTGTATATATGCTTATAACGAACTTTGGTTATAACGAACTAAAATTAGTGGTCCCTTAGAGTTCGTTATAACCGTACTTTACTGTATAATTTACTTGTCTATCAAGGGATCCACTGAAGTCATTGCCTTGAAAGTACCCTCCGCCGACGGTATATGCGAGTTCTCCTGCATGTCAAGCAAGCGGGAGGTCATACTACTTGACCGTCCATGATTAGACTGCAAGAGAAAACAGCGAGGAGCTTGAAAATTATCTCCATGTAAGAATGAACAAGGTATCATTCTGTGTAGCACGTCACCACACCTAGAAAGGAAAAGAGTTGGCTGGGGTATTCACATAGCTAGATTGTATAGGTCAATGGATTCAGTATACTGTGTCTGAATGGGGTATTGAGTGTTAAACTGCGGCATGGTATCTCAGTGAGCTTGCACTATAAATGGGCATCAGTCCAGACTAGTACAAGCAGACACACACACACACACGTGTATGCACGTCGCTATATAAGTGCAGTAGTCTTGGACGCGACGTTAAACCCCATTTCACCTCACCTCACAAAGATTATATTGAGTGGCACTTCATTTTCACAAGTGTGAATTGGCTTGAATTTTCCTCTGTGTGTGATGCACATAACACTCTTGACTGATCAATGATGATATTGATCTCTCCAATGAAAATATTACCAAACAGATAGGAATTGGCATGTCGTCTGTGAATGCATCAAATAAACATCCAGCCTTTATCGCCAATTAATCAGGAATGTGAAAAGGCCAACAGGGCAAGGAAAAAGGCTCACAATAAGGTATGCCATACCTCACTGTCATGTGATTTGGCTGTGTTCCGGAAAAAAACCGTGCGGAGAATCAACGCATCGTCAGGAGTACCAAACGTTCAAGTTGGCGGTCGTTCATCTCTACAATGAATAGGTTTACCCTGTTAAAGTCCATTTTGTCCAGATTAAAGATGATTAGTGGCACAAATAACAGATCTCATATTCCTGTTATGGGAATTACTGGTAACATAGTGACGAATAGTCAGAAAGCTAACAGGTTGGTAGAACAGTTTGAAAATGTAAGCAGTTCTGAAAACTTTGTTGAAGGATTTCAAGATGTAAAGGAATTATACGAAACACAGTCTATGTTATTTTACATTGGCAATGGCTGATGTTATTTCACATATAAAAGCACCATTCACACATGATGAGCTTCAAGGGTCAATTTCTAAAGCTCACGGCTCCTCTTCTTGAGCATATAGCTTGTGTCACGAGATGTTTAAGACTATGCCTGATTCTGCTCTTGGAGTTATTCTCAAGGCGTCCTAGATCTGTCCCAAAGGCTCTGAGACACGTTTTAATCATACCTGTACCAAAACCATTTAAATACCCCTCACCGACTGCAACGTACAGGCCTTACCTCTAATTTATGTAAAATTATGGAACGAATAGTTACCAACCAAGCTTGACTAATTATCTTGAAAAAAGATTCATTCAGGGTTTCGAAAAGGCCGCCCTTGCACTGATCAGCTTGTAAGACTACAGACCGAAGCTCAGAAAGCAGTTCCAGAGTACATGTTGTGTGTATTCCTTGATATTGAGAAGGTTCACGATATCATTTGGCGACAAGGGTTGCTTTTCAAATTACAAATGCTTGGTATAAAAGGTAACATGTTTAGATGGATACAGTAATTTATGTCTGAAAGGGTCATTCAGGTGCATATTGAGACAGAACTTTCTGGCGTGCACATCATAGATAATGGTACTCCACAAGGAAGTGTTATTAGCCCAGGTTTGTTTTGATCAACGACTTTTTCACTAATATTTCTGTTAATTTCGATGCTGCACACTTTACTGATGACGATTCGTTTCGGAGACGATCTGGTAACTTTCATTTATCAATTAAAAAAGTTAATGCCCGGTGTTTAAAATTGGGTTTCCAAATATCCCACTCAAAATCAGTAGCAAAGATGATCACTCGTCGTAAAACTTCTTGATTTTTAAGGTTGAGTTATTTCTTGGGGACCACAACCTAGATGTTGTATCAGAATGTATTTTGGGCAGGGACTTAGATGGTTAAATCATATATCTTTGCAGCCGTTCTAACAGTGTTAATAATCTATTGAACTGTGTGTCAAAAACTCATTCTCAATCTACCGTGATAGTTTTATAAAACACTTATCCTATCAAGACTTGCCTATGGCTGCCAAGTTATCATGTCTGCTTCTAAAGGCCACCTCATTAAACTTCATCGCATTTAGTCTAGAGCTCAAAGAATTTGCACTGGAGCATTTGTAACAACTCCAGTCAAAGCTCCTTATGTTGACTGCTCCGACATGTCCTTGTTCCTTAGACGTCCACAGATATCACTTAAATACTTTCTGAAGATGAAGGCTATGAGCAGATATTATTCAGTAACTGATATACTTAATGACTGTGTCGAGTATGTCATGTGTGTCTGGTTTCATGGCAAAACTCCTTTTGGCTTGAACATTCAGAAATTGGCAGCACAGCATGGAGGTCGTCACTTGAATCCAGTGGATCCATCCACACCTTCTAAAACGGCTTCTTTGCTTCCCCTTAAGCCAGAATTGTGTTATGAACTCTATTCCATTGTTGAGAAGAATATGAGTCCAAACAAAGTGAGAGCAATTTCAGAGGATTTTATGCAAGAACGCTATGCAGACTGTTCACACATTTATACTGACGCCTCCAAGGATTTTCCCTGGTTCGTACTGCTGGAGCTTTCTGGGTCCCTGATTATGCTATCTCCGACGTGTTCAGGCTTCTTAATCACATTTCGGCATTTGCAGCAGAACAAACAATGTCATGGGTGGTTACATATGACTATTAATATACTGATTAATTGGTGAGGTGAGGTGTGGTGAAATGGGATTTAACGTCGCGTCCAAGATTATTGCACTTATATAGCGACGTGCATGCACGTGTGTGTGTGTGTGTGTGTGTGTGTGTGTGTGTGTGTGTGTGTGTGTGTGTGTGTGTGTGTGTGTGTGACTTTGAGTGTATGTATCGGTGTCTCTGTATTAGTACGTGTGTCTCTCTGTGTGTATCTCCGTGTGTGTATGTGTCTATGTGTAAGTGTGTGTATGTGTTTGTGACCCTGAGTGTCTGTATCGATGTCTCTGTCTATGTATGTGTCTGTGTGTATGTTTTAGTGTCTGTGTGTGTATGTGTCTGTGTATGTGACTTTGAGTGTATGTATCGGTGTCTCTGTATTAGTGCGTGTGTCTCTGTGTGTGTCTCTGTGTGTGAGTGTCTCTGGGTGTGTATCTCCGTGTGTGTATGTGTCTCTGTGTGTGTATCTCCATGGATGTATGTGTCTGTGTGTGAGTGTGTGTGACCCTGAGTGTAGGTATCGGTGTCTGTCTCTATGTGTATGTGCGTGTCTCCGTCTCTCCTTGTGTGTGTGTATGCGCGCGCGCGCGTGTGTGTGTGTGTGTGTGTGTGTGTGTGTGTGTGTGTGTGTGTGTGTGTGTGTGTGTGTGTTTGTGTGTGTGTTTGTGTGGCTGCTTGTACTAGTCCGGACTGATACCGATTTATAGTGCTAGCACACTGAGATACCATGCCGCAGTTTAACATGAATACCCCACCCAGACACAGTATACTGACTCCGAGCCGACCAGTCCTTGTTTTAGTCCCTTAATGCCGAGCGCCAAAAAGGGTAACAACAAGTACCATCTTTTAACGTCTTTTAGTATGATGCGGGCAAACGCTCTAACACTAGACCACGGAGACGGTCCCTAATTCATTGGTAGTCATTTAAGGCTAATGAGTCTGGAGTTAATGGGTGCAGAAATTCTGAAACTTGGCATTTTTTTAATACTAAATATATCTCATGTGATATTGTATGGGTTCCAGGTTATGTCGGTTACCAGATTTCAGGATGGGGGAAGGTTGATACATCTGAATTCAGGCCTTGCCAAAGAGATTTCGATTATACAATTGGGAAGTCGATTTCCATAAAATGGTGTTGGTTCTTGTGGATGACATTTGAGCAGACTATGCTCATCAGTTTGACAAAATTTTAACATTCGCCGTCATAAGAGACGTGATGAAGTCGTTTTGACTCGACATGGTGTTGGTCACTGTGCATTAAACAGAAGTGTTGTCAATAAGGAGGCATCCCCTCTGTGTGACCAGTGCAGTGATCATACGCCTGGAACAGTTCAACATTACCTGTAAGAATGACCTCGTTATGACAACATAAAACAAAAGGTTAGAAGTGCGGTGCTCGAGGAAAGTAAAACATTTTCCCTTGATGCAATACTCGGCCCCAACATGCTGTATGGGACAATTCAAAGGGCAATATTACAGATGTGACCATACCAAACTTTAGTTATAACGAACTCAAAGGGACCACCAATTTTAGTTCGTTATAACAATAGTTCGTTATAAGCATATATATATATATATATATATATATATATATATATATATATATATATATATATATAACATATAAACAGTAAATGGACAGGACGAAAAATACTTATATCCGTTATATCCGCCATTTCGTTATAAGCGTGTTCGTTATAAACGTAGTTTACTGTACATCAGGCAAGTATGAGACAATCTAATAATATGTCATCTGGTGGAAATAAACAATAACACCAAACATATGTATCTATTATATTAAATCGTTTTAATTTTCGTTTCTGTAACATTTGATGCTGTTTTATTGAACAGGCATAAAACAAATTCTAAACAGATTTGTGGTTGCTTGATGTTTGAATCCATTTCATTAAGCAGAGTGAGTGAGTGAGTGAGTAAGGTTTTACGCCGCTTTTAGCAATATTCCAGCAATATCACGGCGGGGGACACCAGAAATGGTCTTCACACATTGTTCCCATGGCGGGAATCGAACCCGGGTCTTCGGCGTCACGAGCGAACTCTTTTAATCACTAGGCTACCCGACCGCCCCTTCATTAAGGAGAGGATCCTGTTTTTCCATCAGAGTAATCGTGTACAATTTTAATACACGGTAAATTAATTCCTTTGGTGCAGTACATCTACTAATATATTTGATTGTAAATTAGCATTGGATGTGTTAGGCGCAAATATACCTTATTGCTGGTCCAAGTATCCCTAAAGCTATACCACCACCACTGGTGAGTGAGTGAGGATTTAAACGCCGATTTGAACAGTATGCCTCTAATTTCCGGGCGTGTCAGCTTAATGTAGAAAGGAAGCCCAAAGTGATGCAGGTCTCAGACGTTTACCACTTTCGTGAAACCCACGGACACGGGTGTCGTGCTGAGAAACCTAGAAACATAATTGGGGGAATCCGGGATTCGAAATCACACTTATTGGTTTCTGGCGTGCACAAGGGACGCAACTGTGCACAGTGAATTGGGCCCCACGTGGGGTAAGATGTAAAACAAGGAATGGAGTGAAACCAGCGTTGTTCATAATGGTTTAACATGCCTGTGTTGATTAAACATTTTGGGAACATTATATTATAATTAAATTCGCTGCGTTCATTGTAATCCCTGCCTTCTGATTAGCAAAAGTGGTCACGTGTTATTGCATTCATTTCCCAAATGAATGTCAACAGTTAAGTAACATATCATTTGAACTGTTTTTTTGCATACTTTACAAACATGTCTATTGTATTATCGGTGTCTGCATACTTCGGTATGCCACTGCCCCATAGCATGAAGCCATGAAGGGACCCCGGGGAGTTGTAGACAACCACGTCCACACCGGCGTCCTTCATCCTCTGAGAATACATCAGACCATCATCCCTCAGAACATCAAACTCAGCTGTTACCACAAACGCTGGAGCCACTCCACTAAGATCCGGAGCCATCAAAGGAGCAAAATAAGGATTCAAAATAATCTTCTCAATTTGACTGGAGATGTCATCATCGCCATGATCTATATCCGTCTGTTTTGAGCTATCGCCGTGATATTTCGTTGGCAACAGCTCGTAGTCCACGTACGAGGCATAGACGGACTGCTTTAGCTTCCTGGAAGTGTGGTTGTTTGTAGTGAAAGCTTTTCGCATGCTTGATGTGTTGATGTCCAGGTAGTTGCACCAATAACCTGCCATGTGCTCGCCTTGCAGAAAGTAGAGTGCTGCATCATCATTGGAAACGTACGATGGTGTCTTGAAGCTGAAGGCTTGGAGCGCTGGGTAGATGAGCCATTGGAACCTGAGTTTAGGAATGTCTTTTAATTCAGAGAGCTTCAGAGCCACTGCAGCTGCAAGGTTGCCACCGGCACTGTCCCCTGTGTAATTAATGAGAGAAAATGTACCTACAGAACATCCATAGATGGGATTTTAAGACAACCGTTCACGCTGTCAGTGCGAACACACTACCACATGTTTTCCATTATGTACCAATACGTTTCAGTCTTGGTCGCACATTCTGAACGATGCTTATCGTTGGTTAAAACATGCTCATTCAAAGTCAAAGATAGTTATTGCATTTAAGGCCTCCGGTCCATATACAAAAGAGTTACATATAAGTAATTTTGCATATTCGGATACATACTAATGTTTAATAATTCCTTTCTGAGAGAAATTGCATTTTAACATAAATAACCAGTTTTAACTCGAACAGAGACATAAAAGCAGGTACAGGACAATTTGACAGATAACGATTTGACATAAACTTGTTTCTTAGATCACTATAATAACGACATACAAAAGTAAAATGAATTTCATTTTCTATAGCTGTATGACATAATGGGCATAACATATTCCTCTTCCTTCATTTAGTATGAGATCTAAGACATCGAGACAATCGTATCGTTGACATGCCCCTACTTCTGATCCATAGAACGGGATTGGTTGGATTTGGGCATCAAATAATATTTAAAGTATAATAAAATAATATAATAATTATAATAATATGATTAAATATAATAAAAATACTTGCATTACATCAATTAAAGCCTTCACGTGATGTTACATCCGAAACATTTTTCTTAAAGTTCATTGAATGGGAAAACATTACAACAAGATATGTATATAGACTCTGAGCATTAACACATTTATCACCGAAAACACATCTTTCATTCATTGCCACCTGACCCCCTCTTCTAAAAATGACAATGTTTGTTTTATCGTTATGAAATGATAATTTCTTTGGTGTAACATCCTAAAATTGTTAGTTGTTTTTTGTGCTCCAACAGCAGAATCTGATACTTAAAGGACATCATCGGCAAAAAGAAGCATCAAATTGCTAATACATCTGGGAACATTTGAATTCATGTTTACCGTTAGCAATAATTTCATGCCATAATTTACGAATAAAATATGAGAACAATATCGGTCTCAAGATACATCCTTGCCTAAGCCAACAGGACAGTCAAAGAAATCGTTTACATCGTCACCACGTTGTACACATGATTTGATATTTGAATACATAGCTTTTAATATAGAGCACATATTGTCCTGTAGACCCGTAGTTCTTGACAGTGCCATAGTTTATAACGATCAACGAAGTCAAACGGTTTTTTTTTAAATCGACAAAGGCTACATAAACTTTGTGTTTACGTGATATACAAATTTGGATTATTGCATATAATGTGAATATATGATTGAGTTTGAGTATTTTTTCTAAAACCAGCTGGAGTTTCGGGAATCATGTCCTATCTCTCATAATCCTGGAATTAAGTACTGATGTAAAAATCTTCCCAAGAATACTCATTTAGGATATTCCACTATAGTCGTCTGGGTTGTTAAATATTTTTCGTATATATTGACGTCATCTCAAATTTGGAACATTATATCAGTTCAACCACAATATGGTCAGGACCAGCAGCTTTTCCACTTTTAGATGTATTATAGAGTCCAGAATTTCACCTATGATTTGGGTGCTTCTGAAATAAGTTTGTCGACATCAGTATAACATTAAGAGGAAACATCCAGAATATCGTCACATCACTGTCAGTGTTGAAGCCAGTATAATTTGAAAAAAAACCTTCACATCATTCCAAATCACAAGAGTGACATACATGTCATGTGTTTGTATAATAGGTACTTCACCTGCAATAGCAACCTTCTGTGTGTCTACCCCATACGTCTCTGCATGTGAGAACACGTGAAGGGCAGCTTTCAAACAGGTTTCAAACGGAACTGGGAACGGATTCTCCGGAGCGAGTGGATACCTGGAAGATTGAATATTTTAGACAGGCTCATTGATGTTGTTGTAGACCACAGTCCTGGTATTCATAACGAGGCTACTGCTGTTTCCCTTTAGGGAACCCAGACAGGTCATGAGTTGTCGGAGGCATGAAGTAGTTTTAACGACACATAGTAAGATATGTGGTTTGCATTTGATGAGGTGAGGTGAGGTGAAATGGGGTTCAACGTCGCGTCCAAGATTATTGCACTTATATAGCGACTTGCATGCACGTGTGTGTGTTTGTGTGGCTGCTTGTACTAGTCCGGACTATTGCCGATTTATAGTGCTAGCTCACTGAGAAACCATGCCGCTGTTTAACATGAATACACCACTCAAACACTGACTCCGAGCCGACCAGTCCTTGTTTTATCCCCTTAATGCCGAGCGTCAGACAGGGTAACAACAAGTACCATCTTTAAACGTCTTTTGGTATGACGCGGTCGGGGATCGAACCCCGGACCTTCCGCTCCCCGGGCGGACGCTCTACCACTAGACCACGGAGGCGGTCTGCATCTGATGAAGACTCGCGGTGAATCCAGGTTAGAATAGATCCCCAGCAGCCCCAAACCTTGTTGTTTAGCGTATCATCTTGGGATGTTGCTCGTAATAGCAATCTTTGATTTGTCTGGTCTCGTTTTGATTATTTACTTGCCGCCGTCATAAAGGGAGAATAGTGCTGCGTGTGGCCTAAACAATACGGGGGACACTTTCAAAAGGGAATGTGCCTTGGCAGTGCAAAGGTTCATCGGGCTGGACAGACAATGATGTTGCCGACCGTTCGTTCATTCAGCAATATTGGGTGTTGCTGTTGACCGAGAGGGACAATAAATACTGATTGAATCTACAAACAACTGCATCTTCTGTTAAGGTTTTACTCACTCAATGGAAATAAACGTATATCCGGATTTAACTGCTAATTCTGATACAACATCGTCGTAGTTATCTGGAAGGGAAAACCGCAATCAATAAAAATGAAACTGTCTCTCTTTTTTCTAAATTTGCGTCCTCTTCCTTTGGTACCACTATTCTCACATGTTGCAATAAGCAACGGATCTATTTGAACGAATGTACATGTATTAATTACGCGACTATGCTTGTCGTAAGAGGCGACTAAAGGGATCAGGTGGTCAGACTCGCTGACTTGGTTGATGCATGTCATTGTATCTCAGTTGCGTAGATTGATGCTCATTATGTCAATCACTGGATTGTCTGGTCCAGATTCGATGATTTACAGAGCGCCGTAATATAGCTGGAATATTGCTGAGTGCGGCGTTGAATATCAAACAAACAAACATACATGAATATGGAATTTGTCTTTGTAGTACATTGGGGAATGCAAGTCTTCGGGACCAACAGAATGGTATTGTGTTGCTTGGGGAAAATAGAGTTATACATCTTGAACAATAGATCGGATATGGATATGCTAAATACAAGTGGCTATTTGTTGGCATACCCACGCTCAGGACGGTCCATCCCCCACCATGTATATATATCACAGTCGGCGATGGGTCCAGGGCTCTCGTTGGCCGATACACTCTTATCGGCATGTCCTCAAAGGTGTAATCTTTAACCTGAAAAATATACACAGACATATATACTGTACTCCTAAATATAAAGAAACGCATAGGTGATATTGACATCCATGTGGTGTCAGATTACTTCCCACACAACAAATCTGGTTATGCATTTCTCTGACTGCGAGGTATTTTTTTACGGCAGCAATACATTGAATACTTAAGTGAAATTTCAACAATATCAGAACTAAAAGTAAAACGTCAACTTCAGACTTCGATTATCCGCCGAAACAGATTCCGAGGGGCATAAAAGCAAAATAGCGATGATAATTATTTGTTTGGATTACTGAAAATCATTGATGACACCAGGTGTTCGCGAAAAGGTAAGCATGCCCTTCCCTACAGGTAGCACCATCCACGCAATTTGCATAAAACGTAAGCGTTTGTTTGTTGATTGACGCCTTACAGCAGTACCCCTGCCATGCGACGACCGTCTGTAAACAAACCAGACAATCCCATCTGCTTTGTTCAAGTGGAGCTATATTCTGTTTTTCACGAGTTAGAAAATGTTTAAGAAATATTTTCGTTTTGCAACACAGTGGATGGCAGTTTTATCAAGATTGTCATTGTATCAAGATAAGCGTTACTGACCACAGAGTGTGATGAGATTATCAGTGACCAGTGACATTCTGGTACGATAACTCATCACAACAACTCTCGTACGTGGGGGCCTATCATGCTGAAGGATCCGCACATCGCAGCAGGACCTCATGTGCAGTTAGATGTGAAATACCTTCAATTCATCTGTATCGGGAGGTGGTTTGTTGTCAGAGGCCAGAGTTGAAAACCATCTCATCACACTAACTGACGTCGCAATTCCGAGACTCTCTGTCCCTCCACTCTTAAAAGAATATATAAATAAATAAATAAATGTAAATGTTCGTGACATGTTTCACACCAACATGTGGACAATGGTGAACACAAGTGGAAACATACGTGTGTATAGGTATGGGTCAATACTGAACACAATTGGAAACTTACATGTGTACGGGCTAATGGTGAACACAGTTAGAAACTTACATGTGTATATGTACGGGGCAATGGTGAACACAATTGGAAACTTACATTTGTACGGGACAATGGTGAACACAGTTGGAAACTTACATGTGTATATGTACGGGACAATGGTGAACACAGTTTGAAACTTACATGTGTACGGGACAATGGTGAACACAATGGGAAACTTACATGTGTATATGTACGGGAAAATGGTGAACACAGTTGGAAACTTACATTTTTACGGGACAATGGTGAACACAATTGGAAACTTACATGTGTACGGGACAATGGCGAACACAATTGGAAACTTACATGTGTACGGGACAATGGCGAACACAATTGGAAACTTACATGTGTACGGGACAATGACGAACACAATTGGAAACTTACATGTGTACGGGACAATGGTGAACACAATTGGAAACTTACATGTGTATATGTACGGGACAATGGTGAACACAATGGGAAACTTACATGTGTATATGTACGGGACAATGGTGAACACAGTTGGAAACTTACATTTTAACGGGACAATGGTGAACACAATTGGAAACTTACATGTGTACGGGACAATGACGAACACAATTGGAAACTTACATGTGTACGGGACAATGGTGAACAAAAGGGACAACAAAGATGCCCGCAACCATAAGAAATCTCCACTAAAAGCAGACTCCATTGTACGATTCCGAGGATAACATAAACATGTGTTTATGAATCACTACCAAACAGTGATGATTCCAGGTGTTCGCGAAAAGTGAGCGTATCCCGCCCTACCGGTGGCACACGTCACAAACACATGCAAAAGCAAGTCAATTGTCAATTGAAGCAATATGGGAACATATGGTATAATTCAAAGAAAAAAAAGGGAGTGCATCAGACATTTTTGTCACTATATTTGGTCATGTCCTTTACTGAGGCCTTGAATCCCGTAACCCTGGACAAATAACGTTTTACCAGGAGTCGTATGACGCTCTTTGAAATCTTGGAAGAAAGAGGATGTTCGATTGTACCTTAAAAGTTGAGACATGCAGACTTCAAAGTAGAGTCCATGTTAAACGCCACAGAGACACAGACAGACAAACACACACACACACACACACACACACACACACACACACACACACACACACACACACACACACACACACACACACACACACACACACACACAGATTCACACAGATTCACATTCACACAGATACACACACATGCGCGCATGCAGACAGGCATTCAGAGACACACACACAAGGAGAGACGGAGACACGCACATACACATAGAGACAGACACCGATACCTACACTCAGGGTCACACACACTCACACACAGACACATACATCCATGGAGATACACACACAGAGACACATACACACACGGAGATACACACCCAGAGACACTCACACACAGAGACACACACAGAGACACACGCACTAATACAGAGACACCGATACATACACTCAAAGTCACATACACAGACACATACACACAGAGACACTAAAACATACACACAGACACATACATAGACAGAGACTTCGATACAGACACTCAGGGTCACAAACACATACACACACTTACACAGAGACACATACACACACGGAGATACACACAGAGAGACACACGCACTAATACAGAGACACCGATACATACACTCAGAGTCACACATACAGACACATACACACTCACACACAGACACAAACACACACGGACATACACACACAGAGACACGTACACACACACATACAGAGACAGAAACCGATATATACACTCAGTCACCCACACAGATTTGCACACACACACAGACACACACACACAGACACATACACACACGGAGGATTGAAAGGGACTTGGATGTCAACTTTGATTCTTTTTAATGTACTTTGGTATTTCTTGGTGCCAGCACAACAGCATTTAATAAAACCTTGCAACTACAACTGATTCTCTCTTCACGGCAACACTAAGAGAAATGCCATTGTCCATTGACATAACGTCTATTGTGCTGTGTGATGTCGCAGATACATCACATAGATTCCTAGACTACTTGCTGTTCAAAATACCAGACTTATTGACAATGGTGTACCTGTCATTTTCGCTAATCTCTTGCACGACACCAGCGATGTTGCGGGAATATGTACCTCCACTAGGGTCAGCTGGAATGGGGATTGTAACACAACCACCAACTTTCACGGGACCCAAAAATTTCGTTATATCCGTCAGTTCGGTATAAGCGTTTTCGTTATAAGCGTAGTTTACTGTATACCATAGCCATTTTTTTCGTACATAAACTTATGAAACACAGCTGCAACTGGTGGATCTTGTCCGCTTGGATTGATCCAAATCCTCATTTGTCTGACAGGTGAATGTACTGCTACCAAATTACCAGTCTTTAGTCACTCCAAACGCCTGGCGTAAAACCACACTCACTCACTCACTCACTCACTCACTCACTCACTCCAATATTCCAACTGTATGACTGCTGACTATATAATCGAGTCTGGACCAAACAATCCAGTGATTGACATCAAGAGCATCGATCCATGAAAATGGGATATGATGACATGCTTAAACCAAGTCACCGATCTGGATCACCCGATACATTAGGTCGCCTCTTACAACAATAATGGATTTCTGGGGACCTATATTCTTACCTGGAATCCCCACAAGTTGTGATATTACCGAGATACTGTTCCACGAAACACACCATTTAAAGAACTCACACTGAAGCCCTTAATGCAGTTACAGAATTGGGCCAAAATACATCAACATACCACTAAACCAATAACTCTTGCAAACGTGGCCATAACTCTCGCTTGATAGGTGTCGACGACGCCCTCCTTTATCGGTATGTACGTGACATAGGACAGACCTGCAAAGGCGACTGCAACGCCCAGGACGAACGGCAGAGTACAGCAAAACATGGTAGCCTGTAACATAAATGAGTTGAAAACATGTCAAAAATGTACCGGAGACAGCCAAACGTTTGGCTCTGTGGCAACGCATTCGTGTGGGTGGTACTTAATAATGAGTCTCCGCTGATGAACTGTCAGTGGGCCTATGTCTATTAGACAGGCACCAAACTGATCAGATTACGTAAACGGGTGCTTCCAATTACTTACTTTATTCGTTATTATTACAGTTACCTAAAAATACCGATGACGTTTCTCAAATCGTTCTCGGTACTATTGATGCACGTTTGCTGAAATCCGACGTACGTTTGTGAAACGCCTTCGTTATATTTGCGGAATTACCGTATCGTGCAGCTTTGGTGTCACACATCTGAGGTAGTTCGTTTTGATCAGTAGTGTATTTGGAGGTAAATCCGACACACCAGAAGTGGTTATCCAGTAAAGCAGTGCGAAAGGCAAACGCCCGAACACCAAATTTTGTTCAATCACACACAAACCTGGCTAATGTCTTAGTGTTTTATGTTGTGACTTAGTTTTTTATTTCATTTATTTGTCTGTCAGAAACACCTTCCATAACATAAATCAGTCACGCGCAAGCACAACTAATGCCCTGGTGTCCCCCGCCGTGATATTGCTGGAATATTGCTAAAAGCGGGGTTAAACCATACCCACTCACTCACTCACTCACGTCCTGATGTCCCCCGCCGTGATATTGCTGGAATATTGCTAAAAGCGGTGTAAAACCATACTCACTCATTCACTCACTCATTCACAACTAATGCCACCATCATCACGCGTTGCGACACCCTTGTTACGTGTTTTCTGTTGCCCTGACCATGATGCGGTTCCACGTGCAGTACCGTTGCTTAGCTATCACAAAAACCGGAAGAGGAATTTTATTCCCCACTTTTATAATAACAAGGGCACTTTAGGAGAAATACGAATCTGGCCTCTCAAGAAATGTTATTTTATCTGACTTATAACATAACAACTCATTTACGCCACCAAAATACTTCAATGTGAATCACACAGCATAATTCCAATAGTTAACACGTGGTAGCTCTAATCAACATTCCTGACTTGAGTATACTATAGCTGTAACATCGTTGACTACGCTATGATGTATGTTGCACACCTGCTTCTTTGGCGTAAAATGGGGGCCCCAAAATTATACTTAAGAAAAAAAGGTATGCACCCAGGCATCTAAGATATCATTGTTCATTACGATGAACACGGCTATCCATGTCCATTCCATCTACCGTCACGATGGGTAAGTATAGATCTACAGATGTTTAATATATGCTTTGGCTGCTAAGGACACCTGATAATAAATTCCATGATCGATTTATGGGAGCACAAAATATATCACTAGATAATCATAGGAATAGCTGACGTCAGTTATATGACGAGCTGTTCCTTGGGTTACTAAGATACATCAAGGTTTTGATTACCAGTGTTTGAGGGATTCATTTGGCCTCGGACCAAAATTTTGTTCCTTCTTTGCTATCTACAGTGACATGACAGTCCACCATAATTATTATCAGTCGTAGGCCGTTCTCCTGTTTCATGCTGACCAACCTGCCACTTGTCACTTAAAACGCAAAGTATCGGCCTGTCAACTGTGCTCACCGGAAGTGTCGATCCGAAACACACAGAGCGGCCTTCAACTTGGGGTCAAGTCATAAGATGCTGGAATCAGTATCTTTCACCTCATTTAAGCTATCATAAGTCACTTTAAAAAATGGCACAGGTTGAACAGCCCATTCAAAAAGGGCACTATATTCTCCTATTTTCCTTCCGGTACATGCTAAACATTAGGGAGGGGAGGGTGGTGGGGTAATTGTGGTCTGAGGCCATTTAACATATTACAAAATGAGAAATATCATCGGGTTAGAAAGGTCAAGGACGCAGGAAGCGTTTACGTAGTCACGTAAACGGATGACGTAGCGTTCCAGAATAACCACGTCAAAGACCCACTCGTGAAAAGCCCTCCCCAAGACATATGGATTCGCACCACACATCCTCGACACAGGATCCAGACAGTAACTCTCGTAGCTCGTAGCATCCCCAGCTACAGATGCGTATCCGTCGATGTCTATCCATGTACGGCTTCCGTGTGAGGAGCCAAGCCAGAAGAGCAATCTCGACGACAGAGTGTCTACGTCTACGTGTACACGTGTCTACAGGCGTCGAGGTGAACGTGACGTCACGCCATGTGTTCTTGAAGGCGATCGAGTTGAGGTGGTAGGGACATCGCTGACTTCATGTACAAAGGGTGTGTGTGTCTCTGTTCTACCTTAGTCGTGCTATAACTGTGACATCACTGACTTCGTGTACACAGGTTGGTGGTGTATCTATTCTACCTTAGTCGTGCTATAACTGTGACATCGCTGTCTTCGTGTACGAAGTGTGGAGGTGATTCTATTCTACCTTAGTCGTGCTATAACTGTGACATCGCTGACTTCATGTACGTAGTGTTGAGGTGTATCTATTCTACCTTAGTCGTGCTATAACTGTGTCATCGCAGACTTCATGTACGTAGTGTATCTATTCTACCTTAGTCGTGCTATAACTGTGTCATCGCAGACGTCGTGTACACGGTGCAGAGGTGTATCTATTCTACCTTAGTCGTGCTATAACTGTGACATCGCAGACTTCATGTATACAGGGTGGGGGTGTATCTATTCTACCTTAGTCGTGCTATAACTGTGACATCGCTGTCTTCGTGTACGAAGTGTGGAGGTGATTCTATTCTACCTTAGTCGTGCTATAACTGTGACATCGCTGTCTTCGTGTACGTAGTGTGGAGGTGATTCCATTCTACCTAAGTCGTGCTATAACTGTGACATCGCAGACTTCATGTACACGGTGCAGAGGTGTATCTATTCTACCTTAGTCGTGCTATAACTGTGACATTGCTGACTTCGTGTACGTAGTGTGGAGGTGTATCTATTCTACCTTAGTCGTGCTATAACTGTGACATCGCAGACTTCGTGTACGTAGTGTGGAGGTGTATCTATTCTACCTTAGTCGTGCTATAACTGTGACATCACTGACTTCGTGTACACAGGTTGGTGGTGTATTTATTCTACCTTAGTCGTGCTATAACTGTGACATCGCTGACTTCATGTACCTTGTGTTGAGGTGTATCTATTCTACCTTAGTCGTGCTATAACTGTGACATCGCTGACTTCATGTACGTAGTGTTGAGGTGTATCTATTCTACCTTAGTCGTGCTATAACTGTGACATCGCTGACTTCATGTATACAGGGTGGGGGTGCATCTATTCTACCTTAGTCGTGCTATAACTGTGACATCGCAGACTTCATGTACGTAGTGTTGAGGTGTATCTATTCTACCTTAGTCGTGCTATAACTGGGACATCGCAGACTTTGCGTACGTAGTGTGGGTGTGTCTATTCTACCTTAGTCGTGCTATAACTGTGACATCGCTGAATTCGTGTACGTAGTGTCGAAGTGTATCTATTCTACCTTAGTCGTGCTATAACTGTGTCATCGCAGACTTCATGTACGTAGTGTATCTATTCTACCTTAGTCGTGCTATAACTGTGACATCGCTGACTTCATGTACGTAGTGTGGGAGTGTGTCTATTCTACCTTAGTCATGCTATAACTGTAACATCGCTGACCTCATGTATACAGGGTGGGGGTGTATCTTTTCTACCTTAGTCGTGCTATAACTGTGACATCGCAGACTTCGTGTCATAGTGTGGGTGTGTGTCTATTCTACCTTAGTCGTGCTATAACTGTGACATCTCTGACTTCGTGTACGTAGTGTCGAAGTGTATCTATTCTACCTTAGTCGTGCTATAACTGTGACATCGCTGACTTCATGTACGTCGTGTGGGAGTGTGTCTATTCTACCTTAGTCGTGCTATAACTGTAACATCGCTGACCTCCTGTATACAGGGTGGGGGTGTATCTATTCTACCTTAGTCGTGCTATAACTGTGACATCGCAGACTTCGTGTACGTACTGTGGAGGTGTTTCTATTCTACTTTAGTCGTGCTATAACTGTGACATCGCAGACTTCGTGTACGAAGTGTGGAGGTGTATCTATTCTACCTTAGTCGTGCTATAACTGGGACATCGCAGACTTTGCGTACGTAGTGTGGGTGTGTCTATTCTACCTTAGTCGTGCTATAACTGTGACATCGCTGAATTCGTGTACGAAGTGTCGAAGTGTATCTATTCTACCTTAGTCGTGCTATAACTGTGTCATCGCAGACTTCATGTACGTAGTGTATCTATTCTACCTTAGTCGTGCTATAACTGTGACATCGCTGACTTCATGTACGTAGTGTGGGAGTGTGTCTATTCTACCTTAGTCATGCTATAACTGTAACATCGCTGACCTCATGTATACAGGGTGGGGGTGTATCTATTCTACCTTAGTCGTGCTATAACTGTGACATCGCAGACTTCGTGTCATAGTGTGGGTGTGTGTCTATTCTACCTTAGTCGTGCTATAACTGTGACATCTCTGACTTCGTGTACGTAGTGTCGAAGTGTATCTATTCTACCTTAGTCGTGCTATAACTGTGACATCGCTGACTTCATGTACGTCGTGTGGGAGTGTGTCTATTCTACCTTAGTCGTGCTATAACTGTAACATCGCTGACCTCCTGTATACAGGGTGGGGGTATATCTATTCTACCTTAGTCGTGCTATAACTGTGACATCGCAGACTTCGTGTACGTACTGTGGAGGTGTTTCTATTCTACTTTAGTCGTGCTATAACTGTGACATCGCAGACTTCGTGTACGAAGTGTGGAGGTGTATCTATTCTACCTTAGTCGTGCTATAACTGTGACATCGCTGACTTTGTGTACGTACTGTGGAGGTGATTCTATTCTACCTTAGTCGTGCTATAACTGTGACATCGACGATTACGTAGTGTGGAGGTGTATCATTCCCACCTTCCCCGTGTCATAAGTGTGATATCGGAGTTTAGGCAATGCTTCAGAGCCGTTGAATGTATGTCAATCTCCTATCAGATAACATTGCTGATCCCATAATTCTATCGATTTAATAAAATGATTGCTTGCCCGTGATATGAAATATCAGAAATATTATTACATTAAGACACTACAAAATAATACACGACAGTATACTGTGTGGTGTGGTGTGGTGTGGTGTGATATAGTAAGTAACACACGTTCATATCGTTGAGATCATGTGAAGTGAGGTTTGACGTGGCGTTCAAGACTGTTGCACTGCATGCACACGTATGTGTGGCTAGTCCGGACAAATAATTTCAGAGCTAGCCCACTGAGATACCATGCCGCAGTTTGACATGGATATCCCACTCACACACAGTAAACTGACTCCGAGCCGATCAGTCCTTAAATGCCGAGCGCCAGACCGCTGTCGTGTAGCAAACCACCCGCCTTCCGCTCTCGGGGCGGACGCTCTACCACTAGACTGATAATGTCATAAGCGACGGAATCAGACCAGCACACCCCCAACAAACTCGACTTTTGTTTGTGGCATGTTATAAGTCCTGTTACCCTAGATTATGACTCTATTTTACCTAATATTTAGGTAATTACATATTTGTAGAACGTCTGTACAGCAACTAGGAACTTAACGCCTGTGAACAGAGACAAATGATTACCTGTTGCTTCAGGTGACAAACAGCCGAAGTTGGTAGACTTTGATCATCACGCTGTTACTCTGTGGCCCGCTTGCACAAGTAAATGAAATAGCTTTATCACGCAGCATAGGGAGATTAGGACTCGTTATCACGGAGTATGTAGAACAGGACGAAACAAGATCATATAGTTATTAAATCATATAACTCTCCTGACATGAAATCTAGGATAGGGCATATGCAATATGGCCGATGCATATCGATGTGTATGGGTCGTACACTTCACAGGGAGCTGAGAATGTAGTTTGACGATACGCTGATCATCATCGTTGTTGTTAACTTTGTTAAATGTTAACTGTGACAGTTATGGGTTCAACAAATTTGATGATAAGTTAATACTATAAAAGTACTGACGGATCTTGCAAACGGGTCCGGTTCAGTTGTAGTAACCATTCAATGATTGTGACAGCCGTGATATGGTTAACTTTGTTTCAGTATTGCCCCGACCATCTTTACAGTTCATGTAAACATTGATCCAAGAAACAAGAGTATGCGTGAACTTGTGTTCTGAGAAGGGGTGTATCAATCTTCCCGAGGCAAGGGAGTTAACTGACTTTAAAAGTCCAGTTTCCACCCTTTCCGAACTAGGCTGGAATTACAGGGCTCGATCGTAGCGCCACCAGTGGCTATTACCATTTATGTCCCTTCTATGCCTCTCCTATGGACCAATCAGAATCCACCTCTCGTATCACTTGCGTTTGCTTCACACAAAATGGCGGCGACAAGTCAAGACGATCTGATCGATAATCAAGATCTATATTGCGATAAAACGGGTCTTACATCTCGAAGTGCATCAAATCACGTGAGCACCTTGATACAAAACATGAAAAGATTAGGAAAATATCTGTTTAGAACGGGTTGGCAGTGCACATGCTTTGCAATCGACCGAAATCTGCACGACAGTTTACGAACCGGATTTCGATTTCGGTGCACGATTTTGATTGGACTATGCATAGACTCGTTAGTTCAGCCAAAATGTAACTCCATAAAACCTGCCTACATGTAGTTCGGCAAGGGTGGAAACTGGACTTCAATAGTCAATTAATTCTCTTTCCTCGGGAGGATGGGGTGTATCCAGCCGCCGTACCAGAATCCGCTGACCGTTTGTTCTTGCCCAGTGCTCCCCGACTGAAGGGAATATAAACCCAATTCACTCACACGCTGATTTACTAATCATTAGAAACATATCGCTAAATGTTGACAATACTATAACAGGTTTACCTTCTTGGAGCTTCAAGGTGTCTCAGTCGTCTAGAGCGCCGCATTAGCGGTTGGGTAGCCTAGTGGTTAAAACCTTCGCTCGTCTGAAGCCCAGTTATTTGGTCAGAGCATTGACAGTGCTTTGAAGCAGTGGTGTCTCCATAATGGATTTGTCTCTTGATGGATTTGTAAGTTAAACCAAATTTTGTAAGTTAGTAGAGAATTCCCCGAAAGATGACCGACGATCAGGAAGAATCTCCGAGGTGTTGAGGAACTAGTCAGTGAACTTGAGGTTTCAGTAGTGTTTCATCAACATCTTGTTATGTCGAAGGACTGTCCGCAAGATGAATGTACTGAGAGAAAAAGCCTAAGTCTACAAACATAATTAGTAACAGCGTGAAGATCTGGGTTAGAAAAGGTCTTCAGCAACCCATACTTGTCGTATCCCGCATCCCATTACGGGTCACGTCAGAACGACCTTTCGCGAACTTTGACCGACCACTGAATTGACCAACAAAAAGTCGACATCAGCCTATTAAAAAGCAGCTTTCTCGAGCATTACGGCACTCGTTTCAACCTGGCGACTTCCATTTCAGACTACGATGGAAAGATATGTTGTCACAGTTCTAGATTAATATTTTGAAAACTGAACAGACGAACATTCCCGAATGTCTAATAATTGGTTGAGATTGTATGGCAGTGCTTCCCACGTTATGTGCAACGCCTCCTCCGTTCAAATGTTTATCCCATGGAAGCAACAGAAAGACGATAATTTTGACGGAATCAGTCGAACGGGCCTTAACTGTCGTTCGGAAAGCCCCGTGTTAACATTTTCGAGATTTCATGATTAGAAAACACATTCCGACTGTCACTCTCATGATCTTGTAAGCGACGCTTTGATTGGTCGGATGAAAGGTCGTTCTGACGTGACCCGTAATGGGATGTCCTAAGATCTTAATTCAGCGGTAGCGAGAAATAAGTTCTGATTTTAATGAGATTGAGTTCTCAAACACAGCCCACTCCCCATCCCCACCCCAACCACCCAAATCAACCCCACCCCCACATCCAACCCCACATTCCACCAAACCCCTATCATACAACTCATACAACAATTTCCACGAACAACGTGTGTCACCAGGGGGATTCGAACCGCAAAGTACACACCAAACGCTAACGACTGTGGTCTTCTGCCATGGCGACCCAGAAGACATTTTATGAAATGAGCAACTAAATATTTGCTTACTTATAGTTTATCCGTGTATGGACGGTGAAATTATGCAGTACGTGTTATGTTATTCTCTGCAATGTATGTACGTGTGCTTTGGTAGCTTTTCGTTCAAAGAAACGAACAGATAGAAACGAACTGAGCAAATCGTGATAAGGGCGATGTTTGCTCATGATAAGCCCATCAACATGGGCAAGTAATATGTAAGTGATTGATAAATGTGCCCAAATTGGTTCTCTATAATTCAAAATAAATGTGGCATTTAAATCAACTCTAGATAAGAAATTTAATATATATGTATACGTACATAATCACATACAGCAGTAGGGCTTTCTCAGATGTAGATAACGACGACATGGATATATACCGTCCTATCATACAATCTGCACACTGTCAATACACAAGAAGGACGATGACAAGGATATGTACTACCGACCAAACATAAGGGAACTAATAATTTGAGTGGGTAATATATTCAAATCTGCCCCTGTTATCAACAAAGAATTTTGAACACTAACAGCACCGTTAAAAACAGGCTCCAAGCGGCCCGCCTGAAAACAAGTCGTCCTGTGGAGGGCGTGACCCTAACACCTTACCATAGACGGCAAAGATTGGTGTGGGCAAATCAACACCAGGGACTGCGAGGGGTATGCAGGGGCAACACTTTTTCACCATGATCTGTGTGGGGCCAGTAGTGTGATGGTGTGGGGCGGTATCTCACATGACAGGCAAACTCATTTCGTTATTGTGAATGGACATTTGACTGGCTAGCGATATGTTGACGAAATTGTGTATCCCATCGTTGTTCTGTTCGCTCGAATTATCTTCGGAAATTTTGAACTTCAAAATGACAATGCCAGACCACGACGTGCTCCGGTTGTCAACGATTATCTCCGACAAGAAGGCATACGGACATTTGACTGTCCTGCTAAGTTCCCTGTCATGTTCCCTGTGGGATGTTCGATGAATAAGGTAAGTAGTCGGAAGCAGCAGTTTACGTTATCTAGGTCTAATCTTGTCAAATATACACAGGACCACTGACAGTACATTAGCGGAGACTCATTATTAAGTACCACCCACACGAATGCGCTGCCACTGAGCCAAACGTTTGGACAACATGGCTGTCTTCGGTACATTCTGGACATGTTTTCAACTCATTTATGTTACAGGCGACCATGTTTTGCTGTACTCTGCCGTTCCTCCTGGGCGTTGCAGTCACCTTTGCAGGTCTGTCCTATGTCACGTGCATACCGACACAGGTGGGTGTTGTCCACTGTCGCACCTTTTGTATAAGTTCTTGGTTTAGTGGTATATTTGCTGATGTATTTTGGCTCAATTCTGTGACCGCTTCTAGGACTTCAGTGTGCGTTCTTCAAATGGTGTGTTTCTTCGAACAGCATCTCAGTTATGTGCCAACTTGTGGGGATTCCGGATGGATGGATGGATGGATGGATGGATGGATGGATGGGCAAACCACATGTCTGACTATATGTCTAAAGCTACTTTCTGTCTCAGACAACTCATCATTCGCCACAAACGCCCAATCTGGGGTAGAGCGAAACAGCGGTAACATTTTAAACTACGAGGACTGTGGTCTATAACATCAACGAGCCTTTCTGAAATATTCAACCTTGTTTTCCCATGGCTACGGCCTCATATGGTTAAATCAAACAGTTGGCGATGTTAAACTTTTTGAAGCAATTTCGTGAAAAATCTATAAATATGGGTTTTTTTCAAGAATTGCATTCCACTCCGGAAAACAGTTCAAGGTATGACTTGAATAGAACTTTTAAGAGACTTATTCAACCAGACAAATTCTTGTATGTATAAACATGAAAAACCCTTAGACGTTCATTTATTCAATTTAGGCTTGGATCGTTAAAAACAAAGTATAACACTTTCAAAAGCATGACATACAGCAATTTTCATGTTATTAAAGCCTCTATAAACAATAAAGAACATGGTAATGTTGTGTGGCCCACTGCTTCGTTTTTTCCCTCCCCTCGGGTGTCAGGTAAGTCTGTCATATCGAAACAAGGGTTCGTTTTCACCTTCAGATACAGTAAAGTAGGACTGGCCATCTAGACTCCAGGCAATAGACTGGCCATTTAGTTCTGGTAAGTAAGGGAGCTTCTCAGCCTGCTTGGCATCCGTTAGCACCGACTCCATGTCTTCTTCCTCTTCAACATACCAATAGAAGACATCCTCTTTGGACTTTAAGAGGACTGCTTTACCATCAGGAGATACATCTCCACCACACAGCCCTCCATACCACCTCCCCTTTGGTAAGGCTACATGAAAGAGGAATTTAGTTTCTCCATCAACGATCTTATACATTCCGTCAGTGTCTTCAATTCCATCCATGATATATAGTCGACCATTTGGTGAAACCAGTAGTGTTTCACTGTTCTCTAAACTTGTTCTGTAAACATAAATATATTCACTTACTCAAATGTCTGAGTACACACTGGCAAATAAATAGTTCTTCCATTTAAAATGTAGCATTCTAATCCTTCTTTTGATGAAACAGTTTCGATGTGGAAATGTCATTATTCACACTGAAAACACTTATTTCTTAATCTATTATATCTGATAAATTAATCTGATAAATTATTATACAACTTTTAGATATCGTTGGCTTTGGCAAGGTAGCATTGTGGCGTTATGTTGCTTTACTATACATCAGCATATACTTACTGTGTTGAAAATGTGCCTACTTACTCAAAGCCGATGACCTCGATTTCGTCCTCCCCGAGAGACAGTTTACGACCCTGTATCACTTCCTCTGGTTCCTGCACCTTGTAGATCAGATTAACAGGACCTTCTCCTGTATGTCCAGTATCAGATACATAAATACAATGTCCCAAACCACTCGTATCACAAGGACCACAAGCAATATCCTCCCAGTCAACATTGACAACATCCAGACTTATCATGGTGACGAGTGAAGCATTATTTGCATCGAAAGCATATATGTTGCTGTCATAGCCATCAGCTCTGTCTTTAGGGCCATCAATAATGGCATACATAATCCCCGGATGTTGACGACTTGCACATATTCCTGATGTTCCCACTTCACCAAAACTGGTGATGGTGCCAACATATTTTCGCTTTGAAAACCCTGAAATACCAAGTCAGGGTTAAACATAACATCCGCATGTATGTATACACAACATATATGCATTATGCAACTGATGTATGTCAAAGTCGAATATATATGTACCTTTTGATAGGTTTCTTAATCATAAACATTATTTGCCTTTTAGGAATAACGTTTTGATAACAGTTTTAATAACATGATACAAACCGTAGTTTATATGGTATAGATATGTACTTTCTAGCCGAAAACCGTTTACAAGATCTAATTCACCTTTTGCTTTCCCTTGGAAATATTCAGTATTTTCATAATGTTCTTTCCCTGCTTTCTCTCCGATGGCCATGTTAGTTATTCCCGCTAGCATTTCTTCCAAATATTTCAAGTCCTTCCCCACATCTTCCAAATATGCATACTGAGCAAAGTAAATGTCGATACTGTCACTTATTCCATTGGAAAGCCTTTCTGTTTGGTTTGAAGCATCAGTTACTCTATACAGACTTGGAATGAGTTGCAACAGTAGGATCATCAGCTGTGAACAATGTGTTCCCATCTTGTAATGCATGTGACCGTGTGAAACAATCTTAATACATTGAAGGTTACAACTTTCTATATGTAAAGTTGATAATTATTCGGGTAAAACATCTACAAGAGTATGCCATTTATAGGTGAGCCCCTTTAGCCCCAACGAGCCCCCCTTGACTTTACACAACATATAATGACTGTGTATCGTACCAATTTATATTCAGTGTAAGTCACGCAACCCTATCCAATTTCACAATATAATGAAAGAGACTATTAAAGACGGCATTTTGTGGTTCATTCACACAATTTTTTCTGGCTTGAAGATAAACACGGTTGTAATTTGAGTGAAGCTTATCAAAGAAGTATTTATCGATATATTTACGACGCATAGTGTCAGATTTGGGGCTATGATACTGAAGGAAATAAGACTTATTGTTGTATACAACTTAACTTACACAATGGGAAACTCATTCTTATATATCGTCCTGCTTGACTATGGAACTACATCTAAACTGAGCTAATGCGACACGAATCATGTGTAACTGTTTGTTAGGTTAACTGTGTGTTATATATTAACATGAAAAACCCTTAGACTTCCATTTACTCAATTTAGGCTTGGATCGTTAAAACAAAGTATAGCACTTTCAAGAGCATGACACACAGCAATTTTCATGTTATTAAATCCTCTATAAACTATTATAAAAATGGTATTGTGGTTTTGCACACTGCTTCTTTTTGTCCCACTCCTCGGGTGTCAGGTAAGTCTGTCATATCAAAACAAGGGTTCGTTTTTACCTTCAGATACAGTAAAGTAGGCCTGGCCATCTAGACTCCAGGCAATAGACTGGCCATCTAGACCCCAGGCAATAGATTGGCAATCTAGACTCAAGACAGTAGACTGGCAATCTAGACTCCAGGCAATAGACTGGCCATCTAGACTCCAGGCAATAGACTGGCCATCTGGACTCCAGGCAATAGACTGGCCATCTAGACTCCAGGCAATAGACTGGCCATCTAGACTCCAGGCAATAGACTGGCCATCTAGACTCCAGGCAATAGACTGGCCATCTAGACCCCAGGCAATAGACTGGCGATCTAGACTCCAGGCAATAGACTGGCCATCTGGACTCCAGGCAATAGACTTGCCATTTAGACTCCAGGCAATAGACTGGCCATCTAGACTCCAGGCAATAGACTGGCCATCTGGACTCCAGGCAATAGACTGGCCATCCGGTCTCCAGGCAATAGACTGGCCATCTTGACTCCAGGCAATAGACTGGCCATCTAGACTCCAGGCAATAGACTGGCCATCTGGACTCCAGGCAATAGACTTGCCATTTAGACTCCAGGCAATAGACTGGCCATCTAGACTCCAGGCAATAGACTGGCCATCTGGACTCCAGGCAATAGACTGGCCATCTAGACTCCAGGCAATAGACTGGCCATCCGGTCTCCAGGCAATAGACTGGCCATCTGGACTCCAGGCAATAGACTGGCCATCTAGACTCCAGGCATTAGACTGGCCATTTGGTTCTTTTACGTAAGGGAGTATCACTGCCTGCTTGGCATACTGGTATATACAGATATGGGACAATGCGTTTTCTTGAATCCATCAACGATGCTGTCGACTTTTGCATGTACATGCCGTTTAAGGTTTGAAGTATTGCTGATATGAAATTAGTTGGTTTTACTTTTTTAAAACCTTTTGAAGCTTTTCCGTGTCTAAATATTATCCTGTCTGATCCATGGAGCTTATTACGTTGTTCATTGTATTTATCGGGGACATCTGTTCATTTACACTGTGTAGTGAGTGAGTGAGTTTGATTTTACGCCGCTTTTAGCAATATTCCAGCAATATCACGGCGGGGGACACCAGAAATGGGCTTCACACATTGTACCCATGTCGGGAATCGAACCCGGGTCTTCTGCGTGACGAGCGAACGCTTTAACCACTAGGCTACCCGACCGCCCCTACACTGTGTAAGGTTAATAGCATATGCTAATACAGAAGCGCAGTATTCACTTCGAAGGGCTGGTCGGATTTCTTTGACGTCCCCCTAGTTCCTCGCACCGCTCTGTTTGGTCTTTGAAGAGCTATTATTTCCCAGAGGTGAGGTGAGGTGAATTGGGGCCTCACGTCGCGTCCGAAATTATTGTACTTATATAGCAACGTGCATGCACAAATGTATATATATGCTTGCTTGTACTAGTCCGGACTGATGCTGATTGTATGACGATCGAACCCCGGACCTTCCGCACTCAGGGCGGACGCACAAGACCACGGAGGCGGTCTTATTATGCCAACAAACAACATGTGACCAATAACCAGTCAGATCACCTGTACAAAATGACCAAAACAAAATCATTGTGTAAAAAAACAACCTTCAGTAGTGCGTATGTGAGCCATGTTATGTGATAATAGCCTGACACCGTCGTCTCATGCTCACAATTTGTGTCTGGATGGTTGCCAAGGGAAGATAGGTTCACTCTTCAGTAAACAGCATTGCTGAGTCCCTGTAGCGTTGCCGGAAGCACTGGGCTTCGTGAAAGGGTACTCTACAACTCGTTCTACGTGTGTTTGATAGGGTTTAGGTCTGGTGGCCGGGCTGGCCACTCCACGTGGACAATGGTCACCTGCTCTAAGTAGGCATCTCTGATCCTGGCACGACGAAACCATCGGTTATCTTAATTACTGAATATGTTGTTGTTGTTGTTGTTGTTTGTTGTTGTTTAACGCCGCACTCCGCAATATTCCAGCTATATGACGGCGGTCTGTAACTAAGCGAGTCTGGACCAGACAATCCAGTAATTGATATCATGAGCATTAATCCACGCAAATAGGATCGATGACATGCATCAACCAAGTCAGCGAGTCTGATCCCGTTAGTCGCCTCGTACGACAAGCATAGTCGCCTTTTACGGCAAGCATGGATTGCTGAAGACCTATTCTATCATGGATCTTCATTGGTTGACTAAATATGACACATCGCTCGTCAACGTGATGTGCGATGCAATCCCATGCCATGACCAGTGTCTCTTTTAATATAGCGCCATTCTAAAGTTACAAATTGACTCGTCATGTCATTCAAAATGTGTCTTGAAAGATGTGTGAAGTGGCCATTCATTATATTAGAGAGAGTGGAGGTTCCTTTTTTATCATAAATCATCAACGGTTTATTGTTTCCCCCTTTTCCACTGGCGCTTTCGTCTTCCAGCAATTATTCTACTACTTTCTTCCACATCAACCAAATATGCATACCGTGCCTTTAATACATCCACGTTGTTGATTCCACCAGAAACAAATTTGTTCTTTCTTGAGACTCCATGCAGATGTTGAATACGATGGAGTGGAACTAGAATCAATGTCATGTGAGTTTTCATTTTGCAACAAACGCCTGCATTGATGGGACTTTGTCTGAGGGTTCTTACACCATATCGACAAGAACTTTCCTGTAACTACGGTCACAATAAATACCACAGAGTATTCTGCTCAAAGGATGTCTGCACTGTATGTGATAAACGCTGGTCTGTTCAATGTTCCTCATTGTACGCCAGCATTGAGCTCCCTGTTTATGTCCTTAGGAATCATGATTCAAGGAGTGTGAAACTTCATTTTGATCATGTTTAATGTTTTGTTAACATGAAGGCAAGGATTCTTTTACATTTACAAACAGGGATAAACTACTGTGATAATTGGAGTAAATAGTGGAAGAAATGAAGCGTGCTTGAACATTTATGTTTTCACACAAAGGTATGATTTCATATGATTACTGCAAACAGATTTATATGTATCTTTGAACGTGGTAATGCCTCGGCGGTTATCTACAGTTGTTCTACAAAGAAACGATTATTTGTAAATGGTTATCTATCTGCCCTCTTTCTTGTACTGTTTATAGGCGAGAAATTTAACCTTGGTAGCATGATGAGTATCTCCAAATGTAAAGCACTCATGAGTCGTCATCATGCCATACACTCTTTTTGTAACAAAGGAGTCATTGTTTTGTTTGTTTAAATGTTATCAGATGCAACAAACATAGAAGTATGAAAAAGAGGTTTTGGGTTTCAGGTATATTGATGATCTGATATCATTCAAGAATGGTCAATTACCCTGCACTCATCTGTTTTACATTTAGATCTATGTGTAAAAATCTCTGCACAAGACAATAAGTCAACAGGGAAGACTTCAACGTCCAAATAGTCAGCTTTCATTTCATGTCTTACCATATTCCAGGAGCTCGGGCCTTTGGTGTCTACACAGACCGCCGCCATATAGCTGGAATATTGCTGAGCGTTAACCAACACACAAACAAACAAACAAAACATAACTAATGCCAGTGGAACGTCAACAACATCAGCAATGCATTGTTAAGTGCAATCAATATTGTGTTTTGTATGGCGTTCTGGAAATGGTAAAAATGTTATACAGTAGGCTTATTCTGTATGAACTCTCTCAAATCCAATGACCTCAAATTGATCCTCCCCTAAGGAAATAGTTTCTCCCCGAATTAAGTCTTCTGGTTCCTGCACCTTGTATCACATTCATAGCAGTCCAGGCCCTTATGGGGCCATTATGAGTTATTGTGCAGATGTGTCTACAAGCATCAAATTTGGCACAGGTGTAGACCAGAACATACTTAATCCATTTTTGAAGGGCGCCAAAGCCAGGGCTCATTGGGGCAGCCATGTTGGCAAAATCCAAGATGTCCGCCAGTCCCTTTTTGATTTTGTCCTAACTTCATGACCAAGAGTCACAGGATTATGAATTGAGGCGTCTTTTGTAGGTTTTTTACCTCACGGATTCCAAATGTGAGCTTGGTTTTGACATAGAAGTGCGTTTAGGCCAATATGGTTGAAAACATGTTATATTCAAATCAAATTGAGTGGATCGATGCTCATGACTGCCGTCATATA